ACATTTTCGAAATAGCTTTCCTTAGCACCACCAGCGCCCCTCCCCCGCCCTCCCAACCCCCCTCCGGGAAAGTTAGAAAGTTCTTTTCCTTAAAGCTGAAAATCACACATACACCTTAGAGTACCAGCAACATGTTTTTGCTGTTGCTGTTTCTAAATTTCTAGGAGGGAAATATAAACTCCCCCACCATCACAAAGCCTCTTCCTTTCTCTCTTACCTATCCAAAATACTTAATCTCATTTTAACTAGATTGCATCGGAACATCAATGATACTAAGCTATTCCGTGAATAAACATGATGTTACAATGTGAAACCCTGTGACCGAGTATATAAAATTGTAGCTGAAAGAAAGGCCTGAGACTCCCCCACTCCACCCACCCCCTCCCCAGGGAGTTGTAGAGTTGAGCTGCTGGGGAGGCTGAGAAACAGCGGATTTAAATTTCAAGGTCTTCGAACATTTTTAACATTCATATTAAATTCCATAAAGCTAAACACCGTAATTCTAATAAAATCTTCGGGTGAACCGCTTCCGATGTAATCAGAGTTCTTTCTTTGGGGATGGGCTGTGTAAGATTGCTGAAAGGAAAACACCCGCAAAATATAAAGGAACACACTCTCCTGCTCTTTATGATATTTGCTAAAATGAGCCTGATGCCAATATATAGACTTAAAATCAGCATTTGAAAACATATTCCTTTTTGGTTATTTGAGGAAACAAGATACTGAAAACTTATCTGCTATGATTTTTATAACTCTACTTGTGAACTTTCTTAATTCCTACAGTAATTCAACATCACTTAAATCTCTTCACTTAGAATGCTGTTCACTATGAGGCGTCTCAGGTTCTCACTGATATTTTCATCTCACAGGGCAGACTTCAGGAAGTAAAAAAATACAGACTGTTTTTGTTTTTATTGAAGCTCGGCACGGAACAAATTCTGAAGTCTTTAGAACATATTTTTATTTCCTATCTGACTGTACTCTGTGTGCTGTGTTAAACTATATAATTGTGCAGTCATATGCCTCCAAGATGCAGCTGGCACAGCAAGGCCATTCAAATATATGAATTTTGGAAGACATCGGGTCAATTTATGGTAGCGTACACCACAGAAAATGGAACCCTTTTCCTTCTGCCTTTAGAATTAGAGCAAAAAAAAAAAAAAAGAAGAAGAAGAAGAAGAAGACGCAAAGCTCAAAGTTTCTCTGAGACACCCACGCACTTCTTTATCAAAATCCACTAAGATTATGATGCTACAAAGAAATTTTATTTCCCAGAACAGCCAGCAGCATTTAAATTATATTTCTGCTTTTTGTGAATCACTGTGTAATGCATTATCTTTCCTTTAAAAGGAGGTAAGAAGGTCCTCAAATCTTTAGACTTTTGTTTTGCTTTGCAAAAGTGATTTGGGCTCTAAATAAACTCATGATGAAAATCAACATGGAGGCTGTGGGGTGTGTATCTCAAGGGGACTGGGGAGCAGATGCCCAAACTCTCTCTCTCTCTCTCTCTCTCTCTCTCTCTCTCTCTCTCTCTCTCTCTCTCTCCACCCAAGTTAGCCAGTCAACAAATTTTCATTGAGCATCTACTTACTTTGATCGGGAAGTACTTTTGCTAAGCTCTGGCTATAATCAAGACTGACAGAGCCCAGGCCTCTGAGTTTCCCCTACTATTGTCCTATTATGTCAGTATCATTTGTGATTTTGAACCAAAACCATGAGTAAAGAAATAGCGTCTGCGCAGTTCACTCTTTTTCATAATTCTTTCTCATACCAATCTGCATTTTCAAATTAAAGGGGCATGGTAAGAAATTTGAAGGTAAGGCCATCAAAAGCCACAGTTAGTGGCTGTTAGTTACTAACTAACTCACTAGTTAGTAAGTGACAGGAAGGAGTTAAAAACAGGATTAACTTCCAACCCATCCTCTTTAAACTAACACAGTCCACCATCTGAAAATTTTCAACTTAATTGGGAGAAATGAACATGATAGAAGTCTCTGGCAGCCATTGGAAGAAAGTGACATTTTCCATAAAAAAAAGAATGCCTCTGGGAAATTTTACAAACTTGGTTACAACTTCATAACAAATTGCTTTGTTATCATTTGTTTTTAGCTAAATACATGTTCCAGAACCAATGAGTTGAGAAAACTACGTGTGTGTGTGTGTGTGTGTGTGTGTGTGTTATTAGGAGTTCATAAAAGGATGCAATGTAATATAAGTGTGAATGGGGGAGGGAGGAAGGAGAGAGAGAGAGAGAGAGAGAGAGAGAGAGAGAGAGAGAGAGAGAGAGAGAGAGAGAAGAGAAGCATCCAAAGGGTAAAGTCTAAAAATGATCACTCAACAATCTACTTGATTTTCTTGGAAGGACCAACTGGTACCTTTTGCAGGTACCATTGTACTTCCCCGTAACTCACTTCTTTCCAGGGCTCAGAACAGCTCTTTCCTAAAGAACTATCTTTGGTAAAACTACAGTGTAACTTTTTTATGAAAAGTTTTTTTTTTCCTAAATACACATCATGCTCAAAATTTAATACCTAATGTTAAAACTTGAATATCTGAGAGCAATCACATGACTCACTTTTTTTTACATGAAATGAAAACAGATTTTTTAGCATTAGATTCATAACACCGGAGTATTGCTTCGCAATGAAAGTGAGAGGTGTCAAGGCGATTATCTAGATAATTAGTTTTTAAAAGACCTAATAAGAAGGTACATGTACTGGGGGGTGCACATACAGCACACACTAAAATATAATACATAGTGTTTTATTATCATAGAAAGATGAAAAGAGCTAAGATTTCTCATTGAGGCTTTCTCTTCTTGCTTTTGGAACTGTGGAGCAGTTTTTTTCCCTACCCAAAGTAAAATTTTACAATGTCACATCCCATAGTCTAAAACTTAGAAGTTCTCAAATTTAGCTCTTACCGAAGATCAGCTGGTTGTTTGAATAATGCATTATTAACATGGAACTTTTCAAATGTCTTGTCTCCAAACACAAAACAAACTTGTGGGGAACTGATTTCACCCTTCAGGTTTGTATCAGAGGCAGGACAGGGACATCTACAGAGGAGACCTCAGCTTGGAGGAGCCAGGTGCTGAGGACTGCCTGGCACACGGGCACCCCAGCAGGGCAGGGCAGCTGCCTGCCCTCCATGGGCAGGACTGAAGCAAGCCTCACTTCAAGGCCTCTGAAACTTTTAAAAATGCAAGTTAGATACAGGTTCTTTTTAAGTCCTGTTGCTGAGCAAAAACCAAGCCATAGCAGCCTCTAGTCCCTTTCTGAAAACTAATACTTTTTAAAAACTTCTTTTTCCAATCTGTATTTCAGATAAAGCATCTCTGAACTTTAAGATGCTTCTTATCCTCCTGCTTCTGGAGGCAGGCTACGACAACCAGTCACTTAAGCAGGAGCTTAGGACTCCAGCAGGGTTGCAAGGATGTGAATTAAAGATACACACTGTGCTGGACACACAGACACTCACACTGTAACACACAACAACACACACATATCATTTACTACCAGCAGCTCACTTCCCTAAGTGAGAAAGAGTTTGTACTTCCCTGTAAGCTGCCGGCTCCTAGAGGAAGGGTACAGCAGTTGTGTTTAACATCTAGAGTGTATTAACACAGAAAGAAACTAGCAGTGATAACAATTTGGATTTCACAAATACACAAATCCTTGTTCAGTAGTGAGCCAATCAGAAGGCAGATCACATCTTGTTAGCCATATTAAATACATTAAATGTCATGAATTTCTATGGCTGCATTGAGAATTCAAGCAAGTATGTTTTAGGTTATAATACAAACTTAACTGAATCCTTTCCCAGAGTGAAAAGTCAATCTTCTATCTAAAATTCCACCAAAGGTATTCCTCAAAAGCTCTTTGGCAGAAATCTCCGGGTAGCCCTGCTCTGCAGAGAAGACTCTCTCCCCAGGGAACCCGACTTCCTAAAGTGACTTTGGGGCACCTATAACAAACTCTTGTTCAGGGAGAAGCAACACAAAGCTCCAACTTACAGGCAAATGGACAGCCCAAAGCAGCAGCCCTGCCAGCCTGGCAGCACACAGAAGAAACTCCACTGACATTAAATATTTAAATTGCAAGAAGCAGTCTAGAGTTTTACATTTAGAAAGTTCTAAAAGTCTTAGTCTCTCTGCTCCCAGAGTTGCTGTCTAAGAGCTCTCTCTCTCTCTCTCTCTCTCTCTCTCTCTCTCTCTCTCTCCCTCCCCCCCCCCCCCCCCACCGGGCTCCTGCTCCTTTTCCTCT